GTAGTAAAACACTAAAACAGGTTACCCAGAGAGGTGGTAGAAGTTCCATCCTTGAAGGCTTTCAAAACCCAAATAGACAAAGCTTTGGCTGGTATAATCTAGTTGTGGATGGTCCTGCTTTGAGCAGAGGGTTGGACTAGATGGCCTCCTGAGGTCCCTTCCAGCCCTAACTTTCTATGATTCTGTGACTGGAGGTATTGCCTTTAATGTGGAATAGCCAAGTCAACAAGACTTCTCAGGCAAGACAAACTAGGCAAATATTACTGAAGTCTAAGGAAGAACCTTCAGGTATATGCCGAATATGATCTGCCTGGGATTAAGCTGCAGAACGTACGGGTCTGAGATGGTATGTGTGTGTTGTTCCTACTTTTTGATATTTTGTGTGTTTTGTCTTTACCTCTTCTTTGTGCAGTTTGCTACATGGAGAGAAATTGCATTGAACTTCCTTCTCCCAGGGTTGGGAGTAATATGTAGTATTGTATATGTAATAGCACAGTTAATGAATATAGCTCCAGAGTACTTTTTTTTTTTTTTTTTTTTTTTTTAAACGGTCCTTCTGCAAAGTTGTGTGTGTTTTACTTCATTTGCATACCATGAAAAGTCCCTCCCTTCCCTTCCCTGGTGCTCATGTAGCTTGCACAGGTTCTACAGTAGAAATCTCCACAGCCAGTTGTAACACTATTGAAAAATGTACGCTTGGGGTTAAAGCAGGGGTGGGCACAATATGGCCTGCAGGCCATATCTGGCCTGCTAATTGAATCTAACCAGGCTGCAGGGGGGTGGCAGGTCTGGTGTGGCCTCTGTTGGCACCACAGGGGATGCTGGGCAGAAGCAGCCTTGCCCACTCGCCCAGCTGGCACCGTGCGGCTGGTCTTGGGTGAGCTGTGCTTGGATCCTGGCAGCTCTGGCTCTTGCTTCTGCTGGCAACATGGGGGATATTAGGCAGAAGCAGCCTCACCCACTGGTTCCATGTGGCATCCCCGCTCTGGCTTGGCCAACTGGGCCCCACCTGCCTGTGGCTTGGAGCTCGCAGGAACTGCCCTGAGTGCTTGGACTGTGTGGCAGGCACTCTGCACCTATGCCTGGAGGTGGCAGAGCATATGAAAACCCCAGCCCCTGCCCTACCTCCCACCTTGCCCTGTGCAGCACTGCAAGCCAGCCCAGCCATCTGCTGCCTCCCAGATGCAGCCAGCACTGCTCCCTTGCCCCATCCACCCAGGTGAGGCTGCCCCCAGCACCCTGGGCTGGACCTGGGGCTGGGGCTCCTCCTGGGGGAAGGAAGACCCCTGGGCTGCAGTGGGCACATCCTGCATGGCCCTGGTAGGGAGCTGGGGCAGGTTGGAGCAGGTTGCTGGGCTTCTGCAGCTTTGTGGGGGCAGGTATGGAGGGGAAGGGGTTGGGGGCATGTGGGTTTGGGGTACAAATGGCTCTTGAGGGGCATGTTGGGGTGCAGGGTGAGGCAGGAGCTCCTTTGAGATTTGAGGGGATGGCTTAGAGGTGGCAGGGCTCTGCTGGGGGTGGGGATGTCCTTCCTTGGCCAAATGTCCTGCTGATTGATTTTGGTTCCCTCGTGGGAGAGACTTTATTTTCAGCTGTTACACAATCATCTCTTCATACACTTCTCAAAAAAACATAAAGCAGGACAAAAGTTATCTTTTGAAATAAAATTTAAATATTTTATAGCAGGCGTTTTATTTTTAGCATATGATTTGTTTTTTATCTATAATTTGTTAAAATTAGAACTTCACCATTAATTTTATGTGTGGGGCCCTCAACAGCTCACCAAAACTCATTAAGTCACCCTTCAGCTGAAATAGTTGCCCACCTGTAGGTTAAAGACTACATAACCATCCCTCCCTCCGCAGAAACGGACACTTTGCTGTTCATGACATGACAATGCCCCAGCACAGAGCGCCGCAGTTGGTAATTTGGGAAAAGTCTCCTCCTTAGGCTGGGAGAAATAAAATGCAGCTTACAATAATTTGTGCCTTTTTCCCTTCAAGTTGAAAACAATTCCTTTCCTGATCATTTCTCCTTCCCCTTCTTTTACGTTCCTTCTGTGTGGGATTCTTCTTTCCCCTCTTTCACCCCTTCCTCCCCCCTACCCCCGGCCCCTTAATTTTTAGCTTATTGAAGTTGTCTGCAGCCCATCAAAGGATCAAATATCTTCAGATGACTTGAGTCTTCATTAATGTTTTTCCATCTTGCTGCTCAATTCCCTGTATAGGAAACGCTGACTTAAAGCATGATTCAGAGGGGAGCAATGAAGTTTGACTGTTATGGATTTTGGATATAGAGCTCAGATACTTGTGCTGTATATATTTATGAAGCAGGATGCCTGCTAAGCACCAGCTGTAATTTACTTGGAATAACACTTCTGCAACCTACACACATACATCTTAAAATTTACTGGCCAATGTGGTCAAAGTTGTGTCACTCCTAGTAATATTGACGCAACCTTGATCTTACTAATTTTATTGCCATGAAATCAGTTTTGTCCTGTGTGCAGGATTTCACTGCATATGGCAGTACAAACAAATATAATCTCTTCATTTAAATCTTTAACATAGTTTCCTGCTTAGTTTCTCCCAATTGCTCTTCTATTCCCAAGACTTCCTGGCAAGAAGCCTTTACCCTGACAGCTGGGTATGAAACCACCGTACACCTATCCCACAGTGGAGCCCTGCAGTGTCCAGAGACAGGGCCTGATGGCACACGGTCATGTTAATAACCATTTGAGTCAGACCATTTAAAAAAAAAAAAAAAAAAAGCAGAGCTGAAAATATACACTGCAAACCTCTAAAGTTCTGAATGCAATGACTCCAGGTTCTTTGTAGGTCTGGAAAATGCTCTGTTTGACTGACAGTTCCCAGTGGGGTGTTCTGTTCCCTTGATTAGGAAGTGGTATGCAAGCCCAAAGTGAACCGAGGCACTGCTGTTCATGGGAAATCTATGATTTGGGGGTACCTTTTGGTGGGCAGTAAAGCTGTGGGTATCTTTGAAAACCAATGTCTTCACCCTGCTGATTTACAGTGATTGCATATGAAAAGGGCACCCCACTCATGTCTGGGAACTTTTTGGTTGGCAGCTGATTGCCCCCAGTCATAGGTGATGCATAGCGGTGGGGGGGAGGGGGTTGCCTCCCCCAAGATTGGCTGCTGCTGCTGGCATCTGCGGGCGGTTGCTGCTAGCCACCCCTTCCCCCCCCCCCCTCATCGCCGATACTGCCAGGGCCGCCCGTGCGTGGTCCCCACTTGGCCCGCCTTCACTGTCAGTGTCACCGCAGCCGCCTGTGGGCAGTCCCCTCTTGGCCTGCCCTTGGGGCTGAGGTCACCACAGCCACCTGCTGGCGGTCCCCGCTCACCACCACCACTCCCCTGCCACTGACGCCACCGTCCGCACCTCAGGAGGCATGAGTCGTTCATGCCCCTAGTGTCACTGCCATGATCCTGCAGTGTTTGACTGTGCAGCGTGAGTGTGTTGAGCTATGGAGTCATGGTTGCCTCTAGTTCTGGCGAGCAGGGAGGAACATGGGTGACTGGTACCTCTTGAATCAGGTGGGGCACGTGCCCCCCCCGACACCAGTCAGAGATTGCGGGGGGTGTCCCCCAGTGGCTGATCGCATTAACTGGGGGATTCCCTGCTCCCGATCTCACTCACTGTAAAAGCAGCCACGCCACTTCTGGAAGTCCTGCAGCCATTACTGGAAGCGGCACGGCCGTTTTTGCTGGCGGCCCTGCTCCCCAGCCGGTGGTTGAAGGGGGGAAACTGGTGCTCCCACTTGCCCACCAGCTAAACAGGGAGCACGGCCTGTCATGGGGTGCACCAGTGCTCTCAGGGGGTGCACGTGCACCTCCTACGTGTCACCACTGGGGAGGAAGATCAGAAAGGGAAGATGGAGCAGAAACTGAGAGGGCTAAGCCATAAGAAAATTAGAAAGCAACAGAGAAGGCTGGGTTAGGTGGCAAAGTTATTTCAACAAAAGAGTTTGGGAGCCCTTACCTAATAGTGGCAGAACAAGGCATTGGTTCCACTGGATGTCCAGTCTTAGTGTAGCTGAGGCCCAGGGGGTTTGGTGGGTGTGCCTGGTGTATTCAGAACATGGTGGAAATGCAGATACTTCCACCTGCTGTTCCCGACAGTGTCCATGGTCCAGTGGGAGGTCTAAAGTCACAAATCTGTTGCTTTGTTTAGTTGCAGACATGAGTTTTGCTAGCACAATTTTATACTTCCTACAGAGGGGCTGCTTGGCTGGATGTGACTGCCTGTCTTAATTAATTTTTTGTAGCAGTGAACAGTCTGATTGACCATTATGTGTCTGAGGGGAGAAAGAGTGCTCTACAGATTGGGTTCCTAGGCCGTGTTTTGGTTCAGTATCTGTCTCTACCACTAGCACAGACCTCTTGCGAGTCTTGCTCTATTCCTTGGCTTCCCATCTGGGAAGTGGTATGATAATGGCTTTCTCTGACCCTTTGTCTTCTGTTTTAGGCTGAAAACTCTTCTGGACCAGCAATGCTGCCTGTACAGCACCTAATCCAATGGGGCTACTGTTTTAGTTGGGGCCTCTATTATGACCAGCATATACTGTTATAAAATTCACTAAGCTTTGGAAAGTGTCATTCTTAACAAATAGAATTGTTCAGCATGGTAAGGGGCAAAGGGATAATGCCAGAAGTAATTCCTACTTAATTTCACTTAAAGTCTGTAAAATGAAGATTGAATACCTGGAAGCTGTTAGGGAGATGTTTGAAAGAAGAATGAATAATCTGGCCTTTGTGGAACAGGCGAGATGTATTAGTTCTCTTCTATCTCTAACTTCTTTCTCTAGCCGAAGCTGGGATTTTCCCACATAGCAGCTGTACTTTTAAAGATTGCAAATTTTGAGCCAGTGTGACTTGAAACAAGTTAATTGATGAAGGGTGCACGGGATTGGCAGTTCATTGTTCTGCTTGCTGCGTTACTGGGATTTAAAATGTCATTTTGTTTTGTGTTTTCTGCAGGCATTGGTGTCACTACACTGTTACACGGACTGTTTCCTGTCAAGTGCAGAATGGGTCAGAAACCGTGATCCAGAGAGTTTATCAGAGCTGCCGGTGGCCAGGACCTTGTGCCAACTTAGTGAGGTAAAATTCCTTAATTGTATGCAAATTATGGACCCAATCCTATACTGTCTCTTCAGTTAGTTGGAGTTTGGCCTATGCAGTGCATGCAGGGTTGGGCTCTGGCTTGCTTCTAAACCTGGTGATGCTAGTAGAAATGGCACTGAATAATGACTCCACTAAAGGGGGTACCCTTCCACAGGTGGGTAGCTTCGTTTTGTGTTTATACTTATCTATGCAAACAAGATTTAGACTCTTAATGTTGGTGGGCAACACTGCTCCTCTGGCTCTTGAAGAACAGCGATGGTTTTGTCTTGTACAGATGCTGTTGGAGTACCATAGCCCACAAGGAGCTAAGCTAACCAAACTCACTGTTGCTTGTGAACTGAGCTAGCCTTGGCTAATAGAAGTACTTGACACCTGGCGGCAGATCTAGCAAGGTGCTGCATGTTGCTAATTCCTG